GCTCCTGGGACTGGGCCCCAGCTTCCAACGCTTTGCCAGCTGTGTGGCCGATTCCATGTTTAATGACTGGCCTCTCGGGAAACCCGGGTCCACGGGCTTCCTGCCGACACCATCTCTACTCCCGGTTCCCCCAAGTGCAGCCCGAAGGCCCAGCTCCTCCCTTTCTCCCACCGGCAGCTGGTCTCCAACCCCGCCCGCCAGCCAGGTTAGGGAATCTCACGGGTCAGGCCGCAGCCGGGATCCGGATCCGGTTGTTTCCTGGTGGAGGAACTAGGAGGGAGGGAGGGAGGGAGGGAGGAAGGGAAGGAAGGAAGGAAGGAAGGAGGGAGGAGGGGGGCCGGGGGGGGGGGGGGGGGGCCGGGAGGGAGGGCCCGGCGCCGGGTGATGATGGGACCCAGAGATGCGTCCAGAGAGAGGGGCGGGGCTGGGAGGCAGGGCTGGGAAGAGCCACAACTCCTGGAAGAGAGGGCCAGTGAGAGGCAGTTCGGAGGCCATGGTGACCTGAGCCGGCAGCTTGCCGAGCTCGCAGCGTATCCAGAGAAACACACCCGGCCTCAACATCTCGGTGCAAATTCAGCATTTCCGGAAGGTCTGTCCTGTTCATACACTTGTTGAACTTCGAAGCTTTGGATTATGTGCCTGGGGAAAGAAGAGCAGTCCCCTTTAACCTGGGAACAGCACCTTGCCCTTGTGGGACTAGTAGAGACGCGAAACAGAAACCCACTTTCCCTCAGGACCCTTAATGCAGTGGGCTCTCCCTGGGCTGGACCTTCAGCTGGGCACCAGGGTGCCAGGCCTTGCATTGCAGCGTCCACAAGCACCCTTCATCTTTTGTAATCAGATTGATTTTCACTAATGTTTTGCCCACCACATGAATTAATTCTCATTATTTAAAAGAGCCAAACAAAAGCACAAATGGATACATGCCTACTAATCATACCCACCCTCCCTAAATGCAGGTTGCCAATGTTAAGGTTAATACCTGTTTTACAGATTACATGTATCTTATATGTGAATATATATTTATGTTTATATTTGGTTTTTGAGACAGGGTTTCTTTCTTCCCTGTGTAGCCCTGGCTATCTTGGAACTCACTTTATAGACCAGGCTGGCCTCGAACTCGCAGAGATCTGCCTGCTTCTGTCTCAGATCTGATAGGATTAAAGGTCTAAATCACCCTCAACACGTGGGAGGCAGAGACAGGCAGATTTCTGTGAATTTGAGGCCAGCCTGGCCTACAAAGCGAGTTCCAGGACAGCTACACAGAGAAACTCTATCCTGAAAAGCAAAGCAAAACAAAGCAAAACGGAAAAACCCCTCTAGCCAAGACCAGAAAGAGGCAGCCCAACTGTGCCACTTCGCTTCAGCTTTCTTGTTGCTTCGCTTCAGCTTTCTTGTTGCTTCCCTTGCTTTTCCCATGAGCCTTGGCGCTGCCCCTTTGTGCAGTCACCAGAGAAGCCACAGTGATGATAGCAGCAACACATTGTGGGGACTCTCTCTCCGTCTCTCTCTCCTTCTCTCTGTCTCCCTCTCCCTCCCCCCTCCCTCTCTCTCCTTCTCTCTGTCTCTCCTTCTCTCTCCTTCTCTCTCTCTCCCTCTTCCCCCCCACTCCCTCTTTTTCTCTCCTCTCTCTCTCTCTCTCTCTCTCTCTCTCTCGTCTGACCTTGAACTCACAACCTGTCTCTGCCAGCCTTCTGGATTGGCGGCATTACAGGCGAGCCACAGCACTGTCTTGACCTATGTACTTTTTGTTCTGACATCATTTCTAAGCTGCTTAGCCCTTATTCCATGAAAAAGGAAACTGAGGGTTGGACAGGTTAAATCATTTGCCCAAATCCACACACCAAGGCGAGCAGTTAGGACTTAAATCTGCATCAGTCTAACCCATAAGTTTGAACTTTGACAGTGTACTGTCTTAAGATGGCCGTTTCATCCCTTTGGCAGTCAATGCTGTTCTTACAGTTGGAATCCACAGCAATTCCGAGCTCTTACTCAGTTCTCTGTGACCACACAGCCTATCCCACTCTTTCACAGTTATATCCTTCCACCCATACTCATTTCTTCTCTGTGCTTGGACTGATCATTCTAGATGCCACCAACAAGACACCCCCCCACACACACACACAGTTTTTAAAGCAGGTCTAGTTTAAGGCTTTCATTTGCAATGTGGTTTACCTTAAGACATTTACCTGACATGAATACACTTTGGGGTTGTGTTCTACCGTGAGGTCTTGCGTAGTCCAGGCTGGCCTTGAACTCTTGAACTCACTGTGTAGATGAAGAGAACCCTGGTGAACCTTCTACCTGCACCTCTTGATCAGTGCAGGGATTGCAGGAGTGCACCCCACACTGACTTTGTTATTGTTGCTGACCTTAAGAGACCCTAATATGCTTCTGTCTGACCTTTGATTTTTAAGCTCTTAGACAGCCAGGGCTGTGGTTTATTCAAATTTATGTCTTCATGTTCAAATAAGCCAACAGTCAATGTTGACTAAATGAATCAATTTTTGACACCTCTGGCCAATCTCTGAGCAGTTCCAGGCAGATGTTTAAAGATTACTGCTGTTGCTGTTCAAGAAATAAACACTAATTTGGAAGAAAGATTCAATGTCAGTGTGAGCACTCAGAATAGAATTGTCAGACGGCAGTTTATATCTCGTTCAAAGCTATGTACCTCAAGGGTCTTCCCAGCCCCACACTACAGAGCCAAGGTATGATACACCAAACTGTAAAGACAGCAGAGCCGTTGCCAAAAACTCCAGGTCATAAACTATCCGGGAACCTCCTTGGTTTTACTTCAGTGACATGTTATTTTACCAGCATGAGGAGGATCCCTTTAAACTGCCTGACTGTAAGATTAATTAGCGTACAATTACTTTACACCTTAAGACATAAAGTATGTTCATGAATTTAATGTGTGAAATAAGAAACAAAATGCAATATGGTTTTTAAAATGAGTCCTAGCTAGTATGGCTCTGTTTAATGTTGCTGTGAAAACATACACAGGGATGACTGTATAATAATAAGATAGCATAGATCTCACTGTCTGTTTCCCCTTGAGGCACTTGTGTTGTTTGGTTAAACCATCCTGTTACAAATCTAGAGACTTCATGAGCTCAGTGACAGAGTATTTGCCCAGCATGCACGAGGCCCTGGGTTCAAACCCCAGCACCACAAATAAATAAATTTAGAGATTTCATTTTTACTCTAATATTTTCTTTTCCTTTTGAGACAGGGTCTCTCTACATAGTCATGGCTGCCCTGGAACTCACTTTGTAGACCATGCTGCCTTGAACTCACAGAGATCATTCCTGGTCCCATTTTATTATTTATTTATTTATTTATTTATTTATTTATTTATTTTGAGTTTGTTCTTTCTTTCCTTCATTTTTTGTTTGTTTGTTTGGTTGGTTGGTTTCTTGTTTTTCAGACAAGGGTTGTCTGCCTGTCCTGGAACTTGCTCTGTAGACCAGGCTGGCCTTGAATTCACAGAGATCCGCTTGCCTCTGCCTCCCCCTGCTGGAATTAAAGGCCTGTGCCACCACACATGGCTTTATTTGGGATTTTCAAGACAGGGTTTCTCAGTGTAGCCCTGGCTGTCCTGGAATTCACTCTGTAGACCAGGCTGGTCTCAGAGTTAGAGATCTTCCTGCCTCTGCCTCTCGAGTGCTGGGATTAAAAGTGTGAGCCATCATGTGAGCCAATTTCATTTTAATTATGTGCTTATATGAGTGCAGGTGCCTTCGGAGGCAAGAAGAGGGCATCAGATCCCCTGGAGCAGTGCATGCTCTTAGCACTGAGCCATTTTCCCAGCCCCTAACTTCTACTTTTATATTAGATGTTAATATTATCATTTAATGAAAATACTAGTATTGTCATTAACAGTTTTAATGTTGTATAACAACTAAATTATTAAAAGAGTGTTCACTAGAGTTCAGCTGCTGAGGCCCTAATCCTAGCTCCACAGTTAGTAACTGTGAGACACTGGGCACAGGTCTTTCCCCTCTGTGTATTTTCTCATCTGTAATATTTGTAACAATCGCAAATACTATAATAATGCCGAGTGCTTTGTATTATAAAACTCTGTAGAGAGTGGGAGAGATGGCCCGGCAGTTAAGAACACATACCACTCTTCTCGAGGACCCTAGTGGAGTCTAGCAGCTCTCATCTACCTGTTACTTCGGCTCCGCAGTAGCTGGTATCTGATGTCTCCACTCTGGCCCCTGTGGGCACTTGCACTCCTGTATACATAAACTCCATACACAGAATTTTTTTTTTAAAAAAATGAAACTAATCTTTGACAAAAGGTCAGTAGAGAAATTAGAAAACATTTTACATGCTACTGTAAAATTGCCACTAGCATATTTTTCAAAAATGAAAATGAAAAATAGCAGTCCTATGTCCACCGCTCATCCTTTGACGTTTTCTACTTGAAAGACTCTACTTAGAATTCGTGGCCTTTCTTTCACTACACCCATTCTCACCCCTATCCCAAACCTGTAGCCTGGGTTTGAGAAAACACTGAGGTCTGGGGAGAATTAAACCCTCGGCATTTTGAACTTTCCTGTGCAAGGAAACGAAAGATTTCTTTCCTCCCCGCTTTGTCCCTTCTCACTACTGGAGTAACTCATCTGGGACCCCAAGTGTGGACTCAGTCCCGCCCCCCGGTGCAGCAGTGAAGACTGATACCGAGCCACCTGTCAGAGGGCTGTGGGCGGGGGCCGGGTCAGCGAGGCCCGCAGAACCGAAGGGTGAGCGCCGTTGAGCGCACGCTCAGAGCAGAAGCTGGAAGCAGGCAGGACGGACAGCCTAAGATACGGGGGCTGACCGCCAAAGGGAGGGAAAGGTGGTCCAGGAAACCAGCCAGGCCAAGCACGCGAGGCGACAGCAAGGAGAGTCCACGGCCCGCAGCTGCCGAAGCAGCCCTCCACCTTATGCGCGGCCGCAGAGCAGGCGGGCGGGCGAGCGAGGACGCGCCGGGTACTGCGCGCTGGCCCCGCTGGGGCGTAGGGCTGTCATGTCCGGCGAGCGGCCTCCGCGCACAGACATCCCTCGCAACCTGAGCTTTATAGCCGCGCTGACCGAGCGCGCCTACTACCGCAGCCAGCGGCCCAGCCTCGAGGAGGAGTCGGAGGAGGAGCCGGGAGAGGGAGGGATCCGGCCCGGTGCCCGCTCGCGGGCTCACGTGCGGGATCGGGGGCGCAGGGCCCGCTCTGCGCCCGCAGGTGGCAGCGGGGCACGGGCAGCTCGCAGCCTCAG